AAAAAAAAAAAAAATGGGGGGGGGGGGGGGGTTGAAAGTAAGCACCGTTAAGGAAATTACTAACCTTCTCATGAAAAATTCATTCTGATTTATATGTATGTATTGAGGCAACTCTTCAGTATGAAGATCCTTCAAATTAATAATGTCCTTGTTACTTGACTCAAACACACATTGACATGAACAATATTGCTTTTGATGAAATACTAATAGAATTTTTCTTTTTACAAAAAACTAGACATGGAGGAAGGAAGTGAGCCAAAAACTAAAATAAAGAAAGAAAAAAAGTTACCATCTGAGCAATGGTGGTATTGGTAACCTGAAAAAATAGGAAACATGCAAAATTTTAGAGTGGGGGAGCAAAGTACATAAATTAATATGTTCAGAACTAATCTTTATACAGATAGCAATCAACTGACAAATTAAACCAAACTTGTATAAACAAAATAAGCATGTAATCTAATAAAATGCCATTGCAGAAAAATAACTACTTTTCTTCTTCAGTTTACTAATCACTATGGTGAAAAATTCATTTTTTTTCCCCACATTTTTTCAAGGAAGTTGTTAAAAATTAATCTAACTTGTTCAAATTTTTTGTCTCAAAAAGGATAAGAACAATAGATTCAGTTAGCTATATTTCACCATTAGAGACATGGGTTAGAAATAGCTCTTTCCCCATTCCAGCAATCCCAGAAGATATTTTCCATATAAACTAGTTTAAGCCTCCAGATTCACAACAACAAAACCGGAAGAGTGTGAATCTATAGTAGAAGTTTCTCAAGGTAAGCTCACACATAATATCCAAACTTGCATCCAATTTTTGGCCCTTACTTTTGCTTCTTCCCTTATATATGGATAGGGTGCTATCTCCATCACACACACATTCACGTTAGCCTAAGAGTCGTATAATCACTCTACCGAATCACAATTTCACAATAATTCCAATGTTGCTACTACGGATCAGCTAGAACTGTTGGTACTAATAAAGAATTCAAATAGCTTTTACTAAAACCCTAAAACCTAGGGAATCGGAAATTTGAGCCAGCGATAACAATGGCAGAGCTAGATTCGCCTCCGAAATTAAGAATTAAGCATAGTCAATAAAGAGAACACAGAGGTCATTGCAGAAGCGAGAAACGATTCGTAAGGGCGAAACCTGTGCCGCCAAAAAAAAAAGCGCAATGATCAACGAAATTCGAATGCAGTTAGCGGCTCCCGGTGGAAAGAGAAGACATCTGTCGGCACTGGCGGGGAATTTTTCCGGCTACCAGCTACACTACGTTACCAGTAAGCGGTGCCGGCTAAGTACTGTTATGATGACGCCGAAGATGGCGGTGGACTCGGAGGACGGAGATGTTGAGAAACTCAACGTCTTTCCATCAAAAGAATAAAACTCACTTTTTTTTCATAATTAAAATTTGGACTTGAATATAATTTTGATTTTGTAAATTATATTTTTTTTTTCCACTTTTAGTTCTTCTAAATATTTTTTTTATTATTTCATTCTTAATTTTTCATTCAGTCATCAATTTTCTTTAAAAAAATCACAAAATATATTTTTTTTACTTCATTATTATTTTGTAAATAATTTGATTCTAATTTTTTTAAAATATAATTTTAAAATATATTTTAATGTTGTTACTCTATCATACTTCGGGGTGAGTAGATAGATTTGGATCGATCTTAAGTCCCTAGACTTCACGGATAATTGACTCATTTTTTTTTTAAATCTATATGATTATGTTTAATGTTTAATTTTTGAACTCGATCTGTGAAGTTTATGGATTTAATTCGCAGGCTCGCAAGTTAGTTCGCGAATTTCACTAATTAATATTTTTAAATATTAAGACTTTAATATTAAGTTGTATATTTAATCTTTTAAATTATTATGACATTAAAAGTATGTTTAATTGGTATGTATTTGTCATTTGGATTATTTTTATGATATTTTGATGTTTTTATTATTGAAAGTTTGATATTATTATATAAGTATTTATAATTAATTTTTATTTTAATATTTTAATATTTAATATTTTAAACCATTATTGATAAACATTAGTATAATAAAATTTAGCTTATAAAAAAAATATTTTTTTCTTCTAATTTTGTACATTTTATTTTTAAAAATATTTTTTTAAACCTTTATATAGACCTGCGAACTAATATGTTCATCATGGATTTTGGCATAATAGATACGAGCTTGAAAAATGTTCATTTATTTTACAGGTCAGATTTTTTTTGTCCGTATAAAATGCAGGTTTTACGGGTTGGGACTTAAACGGACCAGATCGGTTCGTATACCTACCCCTAATCATATTCTTCACACATATCCCCTCCAAATTATGAAATGTCGTGTCCTAGTTATTGTTGGTAAAAAAAGTTTAATTACTAGTTTCACTTCTTTGATGGGTTGTCATGTTCGTCGTTGTAGTGATGGTTGTAATAAATGGCAACGGTTTTGATGTCCTAAGTCAATTGTCATAATTATTCTTAACCTTAAAGGAGGTGATATTGGCAGTGGTGCCAACGGAGTGATGGACACTCTGATAGTGCATAAGCTCCTGCATGATGGGAGAATAGTCGAGTGTGAGATCAAACTCCTATATAATGAGGTGAAGTCTAGTAGAAACCTTGCAAATGTGATGATCGTTGAGGACAAACTTGATGTCTTTCTCGAAATCCCAAATTAGGAGAAACTATTCCTCATCAAGAAAATTGGGGTTAGGATTGAGGTTTAGAATTTACAGCGTCAAATTTGGATAAAAAATAAAATATAATTGCAAAGGCGAGGGTCTGAGTCAATTCATAACTTTGTTGATTGCATTTTTTTATTTTTCTATTTGTGTCAATTCACAATTTCAATGACCTATTTGAAAATAGAGATTTTTTTCTTCTTCTTATTTTTAAAAATATTAAAATTATAGTCTATGTGAAATTACTTGTAATTTGAACTTATGTAAGAATTTTCTAAATTGATCTCCATTGATAACTCTAAAATATCATTGGTGTCCTATTCAATAATATTGGAAGTATCTTCTCATTTTATCAATTTTAGTTCAAAAAAATATTAATTCATAACTTATTAATATTACTTACTTAAGTCAATGCCAACGGGCCATCCGTCCACGAGCCCAAGCATAACAATATCAGATTAATTGAATCCTATATCCTACCTTAAATTTGAAGAAGTGCATGTTTGAAGAAAAATTTGAAAACTTGAATTTGAATTTTACAGATTGACAGAAGTATCTCTCTTTTTCAATTCTATATTTGAAACCTAAACTTTAAGAAAAAATTGAAATAAATTTAGTTTACAATAAAACTCAATTAAAAGTTAAACCAGAGACTTATTCAGTTTTTTTTAATATACGTTGGGAATCTTCCAATTGAAAATGAAACACACCCTAAATAAACATAGTGCCATGAAACTAATGACACAACCAATAGTGAAATCTAATAGGGCCCACAGCAAGAGCTGGAATTTGCCAAACCCAAATAGCATGTAAAAGCAACAATTTTATAAACAAAACTTAAAATTAATAGCTTACCTAAAAAGAATTAAATATGTACTACTTAAGTATCTAGGATGCTTGAGTTGTTTTATTTTTTTATTATTATTGACAAATAGATGGTTGCCTTGAAATTGCCATAAAAAGCATCACCCTAGGCAGCAAGGATAGATTCCACATTAGTATGAGAAAAAAATAATTCAAGCATATTCAATGTATGTACATGGAGAAGGGAAAATGTGGATTAAAAATACAGAAATTTAGACTTGGTTAAAAAAGAGAAAAGAAGAATAAGTAATTTTTGTTCACTTTGTTTTCTTTTGCATTCGGATTCGTATCCATCCACTTTAATTGATGGAAACAGTGTAGTGTAAAAAAAAGGAAGGGCGTGGTTCTTTATTGTATCGAAAACATGTAGGTGTGTTGTGTCCAGATTACCTAACAAGAAAGGCACAATTAAGAATCAAAGAGCTGCTATGCTTAAAAAGCTGACTTTGCAAGGAGAATGCCTAGGTTTCGGTAATGCTTTAATCAACAACTTGGCCATGGAATATTTATCATCATTATTATTATTATTAGAAAAAGCAACAATTTTTGGCATTAAAGCATCTGAATCTGCCACGGTCAAGCCAAGACCAGCCAGGTTGGAATTTCTCTTTTGTCCATTTGCTTCCAATGCTTTTTTTTTTTTGGATTCATGCATTGCCATTTCGAACTCTTCTTTTAAAGAGTGTGACATTTGATGGAAAGGGAAAATGGTATATATATACAAATAAATAACACATAAAAATGTGTGGCTTCATACCAACAAAGTCTCAGAGTGTTGGTAAATAGCTAAACTATTCATATAGGTTTTCTTATTATAAAGCTTATTTTCATAAGTAAAATCATCTTATGAATCATTAATCTTAAAATATTATTATCAATTCTCTCCAACACTCTCCCAAGTCAATCTTTAGCCTTATTTTTGATAGTATGCTGACCTGCTATCATGACATGTGTGATGGGTTGAGACTAGAGAAAAAATCTCAGAAATACTTGTAACATAAAATACTAAATTGTAGATAATCAAATAAATTAAAAATTATTAACATTTAGAATATCTATCAGATTGTTATTGCACTACATGGGTTAGATACACAAATTCAAATAAATAAATATTACTTAAATAATTTACTCCCACTGTGACACACAACATGACAAAATTTCACTGAATATTTTTTCTCTCAATACAAAACTTTCTTTGTTGTTACGTCCACCTAACCTAACTCGATGAAAGAGAAAGGAGTAGTAAAATAGGCAAGTGAATATCACAAAAGATTTCACTGTCATAACAACAGAGAGTGACGTGAGAAGATTAAATGACACAAAAACAAAACAAAAGACAAACGCTCTCTAACAAATTTTTTAATACTATATACTTTCTATTATTAGTTAAAAATACATCGAAAAATATAAGGGACTGCCCTAATTTTCTGTTTTTATTTTTTATCCATAAAATTACTGTCTTCTTTTTAATTTGTTTTTGTACATATCTTTGAAAATAGAAACAGATTAAAATAGTTAGAATTTACTTTTTTTTAATTAAATTTAACTAATATTAATAATGAATAAATATAAAAGAATGTTTCAGACAAAAATAAAACACTGAAGAATGAAGAACACTTGTTCCTTGAAAATTTTAATTTCATCCTTATTTTGATCTGTTTATAGCCGCGGATACACCACTTTTTCTTTTCATTTCCCCCGAAACATTCCTCAGCACAAATCCAAAATTCTAAACTCGGAAACCGCCATCTCTGGGATCACAATCACTTCCCTTTTCCCTCTCTCTCTCTCTTCTTTTTCTTTTATGTGAAGCTTTTCCATCACATTCCTGTGTGAGCCCACAATTTTTGACCCTCTCTCTCTCTCATTCAGTGGAAGGTGAATGAGAGTGAGATGAACACTTGCCAGCTCCGGGTCTCGCATTCTTTCCCTGCCTAGTGTGCCAGCCAAGAAGAACAAACTCTTCATGGCTGCAAAGCGCGTCTACCAAGTTTGGAAAGGAAGTAATGTAAAGTTCGCTTCTTTTCCTCTTCTTTGCTGCAAATTTAGCCTTTTCTGCTTGATGTGCCATCTGGGTCTTCGTGGTTCCGTGATTTGCTTGGTGCTTAAGATTTTGAATTACTGGGGCAGGTTTGGCTGCTGGAATGTGGAAGTGGAGTTGGAAACATTTTCTCTTGAGCGTGTTTTTATTTTTGAAAATCACAAGTTGGGTGTGTGTTGAAAGTTGAGCTGGCAGTGAGGTGGGGTTATGTGTTATTTTTTTGGGGATTCTTTAATTTTGAATATTGAGCTGTGCTGTGCCTGCTTGTAGTTGGTTTTCAACTCAGCTGTGTGGTATAGGGGAATAATTTATGAAGGTGCAGAATTTGACTTCCCTCCTTCTAGTTTTGCTAAACTTTTTGCTGAGGATGTGTTTGGGCTTTTGATCACTTTTCAATTTGTATCTTTAAATGATACTATGATAGTTTTTAAACAATAAAATAAAATAAGCAATGTAAGATAGTTAGGACTTAGGATTGAAATAATTGGGTAGCTCCTTTTTTCCCATACTTATTTTTGTTCTTGACGTTTGTTGAAGAAGGATGAGATTCAGTTCAGATATTTTTAGGTGATTCTGTGCTTTGAATAGAGCTGTCATGGAGGACTTTCTTATTCTCTTAGTGAAGTGACTCCTTACTAAAGATAAATGTAAAGTTGATCAATAGATTATTGAATGAGTAAGATATGATGTAGGTTTGGTTATTGATTGGGTTAATGTAGCTTAACATGGGATGGACCACTTGAGCAGCATCGACAGGTGCGTGCTGCTGTTAGTTTGTTATGATGCCAAGTGGCTTGTGGTAGAACATTCTCTGAAAGGATGAGGAATATTAAGTGTAAGGGTGATTATCAGGTTTGACCATTTGAGCATGAGGGTTTTTCCATGTTCAAAGTAATTAATCTGAAGATCTGATGAAATTGATGTTCCCTTCCCCCTCTCCCTAAGTTAGTTTTGGTCTTTGGCAAATTGATTCTCACATGAAGTAATGGTTACAGTAGTTTTTATTGGAGATGGATGATGGCTGGTAAGGTATTGTTGGTTGGAAGATTGATGCTATATAATTGATTGTAACTTGAGTCTCCTTGTCAATTATACTAATCTGCAGTCTACAAGAGGTGATTTGACACATGACAAACAATGGATGATTGTGTTTGGTGCTCTTGTTTGTTTTACCTCATAGGAGTGTAGGACTAGAAAAAAAGAGATAATGGCCTCTAAACTCTGCATAATATAATTTGATATGATCATGGACACATACATCAAATGGTAGTTGAGCTATTAAAGTTTATAAAGAAATTGAGACATGTAGGTATAGACATGCTAAAAATAAGCTGATAATGCTATATAGATAAGTCACTTTTAAGGCACACCTGCTGAATTGTTTCGGGGTTCCTGGTCAACAATGAGTTTGTCCTATAATACATTGGAGTTTTTCTCTTTTTAAGCTTGGTTTTGGAAGGAACAAGGAATGTGAAATTTGATGGCATTGTGCATTATATGTAGTTCTCTACTTCATTTGGTTGTAACGAAATGCCTGTATTTTCAAGAGCACCTCTTTCCCTTTACAATTGTTGGATAGGATTGTGATGGTGATGTTGCTTGGTTGATGGCTGCTTCAAGGGATCTACCATTTGAATGCAAAAATATTGGACTACATTATTACATTTTCTTTCTGTTTTAAATAGGATAGAAGCATTCATTATTCTCCAATAGTTTTATCTCTCTCCTTTCTTTCTACTTTAAATTGGAGGATTCATTATTCTACTTTCTAATCTATGTTATTGTCATATTGGAATGACGTGTCATTCTGTAATGTTGTAAAAAAAAATCATTATGGCACCGTTATAAAGGAATAATGTGGCCGTTTAGAGCTTGATTGCCATTCACAATCCCTTTTTAACATTTTATGGTGACATCTATCATATACGTTATGGTGCCCACTATGGCCATGTTGCCATGGCGGCTTATGGAGGTCATGGCGGATTTTTATTTTTTTTCATTTTCAAAAAGCCCATTTAAGGGTTTTTCAGACAGCCCTCAAATATCACTTACACTTTTCGCTGTTGGTCTCCCAACTTCACAAAGAGAATTGGGGCTTCTCTTCTTTCTTTATTTAACCTCCATACTTGTGGCCAATCAAGTCTGACTACCCCTCTTTGGCAGCTTGAACTCCAGCGAACAATGCTGACGAGATAGAACAGTTTTTCTTTGGCCTTTTTTATTCCTTTCATTTATTTCTCTTTTTTTTTATACCTGTTCTCCATCTGTTCTACATTCTTCAAATGTTCCTTGCCTTTTTTCTCTGTATTTGTGTTTTGTCTCTTATTCTTTGTGTGACACTGACTGTTATAGTTCTTTATCTCTTCAATGTTCAATGTTTAGTTTTCTGTTTTTATAATTTCAAAATGGCATTTTCTGCTCCTTTGTTCTCTGTTTCTTTTTTTAAACATATAATGTTATTCCCAATTCTTTTTTCACTTATAGAACAATGTCAAGCACCCAAAATCAAAGTCATGCTTCCTTAGACATAGGATGGAAACATTTAATTAATTGTTATGTTTATGACTTTATGTGATGAGATTATGAGACTACTGAATTATAACATTGTTCTTTTGAGATTTTAGTCTATAATTCTGCTGTTTTTAATATATTCATGATGTTCCTAATTTATTTATGCTATTTTAAAAAAAAAAATTGTACACATATATACATATGAGGAGGGATCCATTTACTCCCGGAATAAGTCTACCTAGACTTATTTTGTTCAATAACTCATGTTCTACATCAAATTCTAACGATCCAACCGTTGAATTTAAAGTTCTTAATGCATAGATCAAATCTGCAAATTTTTAAAAAATTTGAAAACTATTTGATACTTCATTTCATTAATTTAAATCAATGTATAAAATGATTTTATGATTATCCGTCAATTTGAATTAATGAAATAAAATATCAAATGGTTTTCAAATTTTTTAAAAATTTGTGGACTTGATTTATATATTAAGAACTTTAATTTCAACGGTTTTGGATTGTTAAAATTTGATGTAAAATATGAGTTATTGAATAGAGTGGAGTAAACGGATCCCTCCTCTATATATATATTTATTTATTTAATTTTGTCTGACGTGGTGTTCAACATGGCACCCGTCACAAGTTTATTGCAGATTTTTGGCTCACAGCCATAGGCCATTATCTGTTATTAACTCCGTTAATATTGCATTCTTTTGTCTAATTTCAGAAGTGTTTTAGTTTTTCTAATGAACTATCTTCTGCAAATTTTTAACTCTTATTTTACTTTTTAGTTCATACGTCTGTCCTAATCTTCTGCAGAAATTCATATGTGGAGGGAGGTTGGTATTTGGGCCTGACGCTAGGTCCCTGCTTGTCACCTTGTTGCTGATTATTGTTCCAGTTATAATCTTTTGTGTATGTGTAGCAAGGCATCTACGGCATGAATTTTCTTCATATAGTTCTGGATATGCTATTTTAGCAGTGGCTATTCTCTTTACTATTCATGTAAGTTCTGCTAATTTTTTCTTTGATTATTTGATTTTTATTTTTTTTATTTTTTATCTTTTTGTATGCATAATTAGTTTTGACTTGGTCTGTTTTCAAGTTCCACAGTCCAAATATAATGCATGCCATTATATGCCACAAAAAACATGCTTTCTACTGTTCAACCACAGTATATTCTGTCCATGTTGAGAACTGCAGAAGTGTGGCTTGTTTAACTCAATCACTGACATATATAACCAATTCGTCGTGCATCTATTAGCATTTTCCCCCTAAAAATATTTGAAATTACTTAATTGAAGTTGAACTAGATTTGGTGATATAATTTCATTATCAAGAATCAAGATATTGATTTTCTTTAATCTTCTTTACTGACCCCATACAGTATGTCACAATATAATCTCACAGCCTATGTTTCTAGGTCCTGGTGGTTCTCTTTCTTACTTCCTCAGGTGATCCAGGCATCGTTCCAAGGAATTCACATCCACCAGAAGAAGAGTTTCGTTATGATTCTTCAGTTTCTGTTGATGCTGGGGGAGCAGGACGACAAACGCCAAGTCTTCAGTTCCCTCGAACAAAAGAAGTTATTGTTAATGGCGTTGCTGTTAGAGTTAAATATTGTGAGACTTGTATGCTGTATCGTCCTCCTCGTTGCTCGCACTGCTCCATTTGCAACAACTGTGTTGAGCGTTTCGATCACCATTGCCCTTGGGTGGGCCAGTGCATTGGTCTGGTATGATAGTTGGCAAAGGACATACTTGATTTTATGATACATGTACTTGTTTGCTTTATTCTTATGTATTTTTGGGTCTTTTCCAATGTGCAGAGGAACTATCGTTACTTCTTTATGTTTGTTTCTTCAGCAACTATTCTGTGCATCTATGTGTTTTCCCTCTCAGCTTTTTACATCAAGGTTCTTATGGATAATTATGACGGCACAGTTTGGACGGCCATGAAAGAGTCCCCTGCATCCGTGATACTAATGGCGTATTGTTTCATCTCTCTGTGGTTTGTTGGTGGACTAACCGGTTTTCATTTGTACCTTATAGGCACAAATCAGGTCAGTCAATTTCTTTCCAACATCTCTGATTTTAATTTTCTTTGGTACTTTCAGACTAGTTTGTAACTCGTGGTAGTAATTGTTGGATGGTTCACATCACCTGCCTCAATTCTTGGAGTGTAACTTATATATCTGATAGACAACTTTACTTAATATCAATTGGTTTTAAGATGAAATCTAACATAATTTAGACTGCTTTAACTAAAATACTTGTATTGCAATGCAGACTACCTATGAAAACTTCCGTTACAGAGCTGATGGAAGGATCAATGTTTTTAATCGGGGTTGTTTAAATAATTTTCTTGAAGTGTTGTGCACAAAAGTAAGGCCCTCAAGGAACAATTTCAGGGCTTTTGTCAGAGATGAGGTACCGAGGCCGCTTGCTCCGATCATTAGCCGGGAACGAGAAGCAGATGAGTTGGGTGGAGATCGGCGTCCTAAGGTTGAAGATGATCTAGACATTGGTGAAGACCTGTTGAAGATATCACAGCGAAGGAACGTTGATGAGGACATTCGGGGCAATGGAGCAGCCAACAATGCATCTGAACCTGACTCAATTTTGTCTGCAGATCATCGAGCTCCCACAATTCGATCTGATGCTAGGCACTCAAGTTGGGAAAGGAGTGGAAACTGGGAAATTGCACAAGAGGTACTTGCTAATTCAAATGTCACTGAAAGCAGAAACTATGTCACTTCTAAGGAAATGCGCCAATGAGGGGTGTGTGGTATTTTAATGGCATCAACCATATATGATGTGAGATTAGGTGGATACTATAGATGGAAAAGGAAATTTGTTGGAACTCTGGTATAAAAACTTAGCCTACCTTTTTTGTGGTGACCCTAGTTCTTTGAGAGGGCATAGAAATGTGTGCATGTAATTTGTTTTGAGAGACCATGTGTCCTGTTTTTTCTCTTTTTCTCCCCTCCTTATTTTTTAACAGCCCAATATATGGATCTCATCTTGTCTTTATTCTTTGTGTAAATAACCAGTTATCATACTGAAGAAGCTTCTCTACATATATTGCGTTTTAGGCACTGTAAAGATTGGTCCTCTCTTGGAAGTATTTTTACCTGGCTATTAATGTGATATTTTTTATATATTTATTATCTATTAAGGAGTTATACCTCCTTCTAATTGGATGAATTTTTATGAGGATAGAGTGATACTTTTAACTGAAACTTCATGTTTAAGTCACAGATCAAACACTAATACTTAAACTAACAATTTTTGATTGTTCATCAATTAGTAATTTAGAGTTTGATTGAAAAAATAAGTTAATTAAATATTTATTTAATAAGTTTTTATAAAATGAGTATAAAATTACCATAGAGAAATTGTTTGTCACGTCATATTAAAATGATTCAATAAATGACAATTTTTAGTTTGTCTAGCTTTTTTAATTATTTATTTTTAATTTAGAAAGCCCTAGGTTGGTTCAAACTTGTGAATTGTTTTTTAGCTCATGAAGTATACACTTTTAATTTTTTTTTATATATACACCTTTCCTTAAAAAAAAAAACTAAAATATCATTAATCTTTTTTATTTTTCAATTTTTTAATTTTCCCCTCCCCTTCCCCTCTTTTAGTTTTCATAAATATTCAGACAGTATAATTAATGTAAGACAATATCGTAAGCATGACTTCCTCGACAATGTTAAAGGTACAAAATCAAATACACATATTTTCTTCGGACACTTCCTCCCTTATCACACTTTTAAAAATCTCAATATTAAATTTAATGTTTTGAAAATTACTTTCAAGAACATTAATCTTAGTATTCAAAAAAGTATTTTTTTTATAATAATGAAATTAGTGTTCCAAAAAGTATTTTGTAGAATTGTGTTTTTACATACTTTCAAAAATTAATTTTTAGAATATTAAATTTACTGTTCCAAATTTTTTATGCAATTATGTAAAATTAGTATTATAAAAAGTACTTTTCAAAAGTGTGTTGTTTTACATAATTTTAAAAAGTTCTTTCCAAAACAATAAATTTAGTGTTCAAAAAAGTACTTTTCAGAAGCATGTAAAAAACACAATTTCAAAAAATACTTTTCAAAATACTAATTTCACTATTCTAAAAAAATACTTTCCAAAACACTAAAAATTAATGTTTCTAGAGAGTGTTTTTCGGAGCACTTAATTTAATGTTGTGCTTTATTGAAATATGAAAGGGGAGGGAAGAAATAGGAATGACAAGTAAATTCGTACTCGTAGGTAATATCCAAAACCATCCCGGCTCTAACGAAGAATATTCAATTTGATTGGGCATAGGTATGGCTACAGTTAATACCTAATTCATTAAATCGGGTACGAGGACGGAGATGGGTATATATATACTCACCTCGTACTTGTACTCGTATTTGCTTAAAATTTATAAATATTTATTTTTTAAAAAAAAATTACTTAAAATTTATGTAACTTCTTACTTTGTTTTTAATTTATGTCAAATAAAATTTAATTAATATAATTTTGTAATTATTTTATGTTAAAATTCTTACTTTTGTATTTTTTTGTAAAATATAATATTTAATTAATTTTTGGACAGGTACAAGTACAAATATAAGGTATGGGAATGAGAATGGGGATGAGAATGGAGATGGGGATGGGTATAGAGAAACTTGTACCCACCTCACCCCATTGCCATCCCTAAGAGAAAGTGCTCAAAGAAAAAATGTACTTCATACATGCCTACAACGTAGTCGTATGCCAGTTTTACATTCTTTGTATGTGTGAAAATTGAAAGAGGAGAGAGAGATGATAACAATGTGAAAACAAAGAGAAAAGGGAAAAAGAGTAATGTAAAAATTGTAAGATGTGCATGTGAAAACTAAAAGGGTGAGAAAATGAGGTGTGTAGAAAAGAAAGAGAAAGTGCACATTTCTTAAAGCTTAGTTGGGACTTGCTTGCCTCAAGCTCACAATGGACTACATTTCTTAATGCTTATTTTTCAAGAGAAAGACCTCCATTGTCTCTTATGTTAAATTTTCCATTTGACTTGCTCTAAAACACTACATATCTTTTATTTAAAGCGGAAGCTCATGGTTCTTAGGAGATGATAATTTAATTAAGAGTTAATACACTACTAGTGTAAAGTTTTTTTACACTGGTAACTAATTGTATTTTTTAATTGTGTCATGTCACTATTAAAAGTAAATATGTTTATATAATGACATCACACAATTAAAAGATATAATTGACTGACAATATAAAAATTTTTTACATTGACAATATATAAGTGATTAACTCTTCAATTAATTTCTAGCAAGATAAGTGACTCGGCATACTTATTATTGATATCTTGCAAAGCCCCCTTCTCTTCAGCCCTATTTGCAAGCCAAGCTTAAGGGTTTTATTAGGAATATTGTTTGGACAATTCTCCTTATATTAATCTCCAATTATCCAACTTTAGTGGATAAGATCTATCAGATTAGTATTCCCTGTTTGCCTCCAAAGGATCACTTGGTCTAGGAGGGCAACTACATTGGGGATCTGTCCCTTAAGGAAGCTTTCAAGTTCCTTTTTCCTAACCACAACATCGTCCCTTGTGATAAGAGCGTCTGGAGTCCCTTTATCCCTCCTTCAAAAATCTTTTATGTTGTGGAGGCTACTTCATGATAAAATGTCAGATGATAATCTACAGTATAGAGGTTATTTTATGGTCTTAGTTTGTAGTCTTTTCCATGTCGTCGAGGAATCTTCGCAACACCTTTTTTTTCTTTTTTTATTGCATCTTTGCTCGTTGGCTTTGGTCCTAGCTCTCTTCCACTTTGCACTGCCATGTTGATTTCTCTTCTCTCCTTCCTATTTGCTCCATATTTGGGATCATTCTACTAGTCCCACATCTGTGAAATCTGTCTTGCTGGTCTCATTAATACAATCTGGACCATCTGGCACTGTAGGAACTGCATTAGATTTCATAATACTTGGTTTACCCCATCTTAAGCTATCACTTGGATTACAATTGCGACCTCTCTCTGGTAACCACTCCTCGGGTTCCATACATTCTCTATTTAAGAGTTACAAGTTTTGAAGACCCGTTGTTGTGGATTGGCATGCTCCAAAGGCTCCCTTTATCTTACAGGTGGATTGGTTTCATCCTCTATGTGGGTGGATTAAATGTAACACTGATGGTGCTACTAGAGGCAATCCCGATTTAGCTGTTTGTGGTGGTCTTTTTCAGGACATCAATGTGCCATCCTGGGTTGTTTTTCTTAGTTCCAGTTCATCAAATCTTCTCTCCATGCAGAATTACGTGGGGCTATGGTTATAGTGGAAACTACCTCTCTAGGGCTAGAATAGGCTTTGATTGGAATATGATTATGTTTTGGTGGTTAAAGCGTTTTCCTCTCTTGTGGTTGTTCCTTGGAGACTTAAAAATAGATGGAATAATTACTGACAAACTTGTTATTTTTTTGGTTGAGCAATGATATATATGTTCAGAAATCGTATTCCGAATGACGTTTTAAATATTGAAATATTAATATTTTTTAATAAATTTATTATAAAATAATTATTAATTTAATATTTTATAATTTAAATTATTATTTTAATTATTTGGAATTTCGTTCCTGATTTGTGTCAGCACGATTTCTTTTGTAACAAGTTGGGCTTGCCTTTTTGTAGTTTTTGTTAGCTTCTTTTTGCTTGAGTTTTGGTTCTTGTCCCCAAGTTTTGTACTTGTTGGATATTAATTCTATTTTGGTGTGCTACATATAATTGATAGAGTTTTAGGTGTTAACATAATTGGGATTTCCTTCTTTATTATGATGCCTTTGTATTTTTTTCAAAAAAAAAAAAATTAGTACCAAAAGATGGTAAGTTAAAGAATTAAGGAACAAATTTTGTGACTAAATATTTATTAAGTGATATTGAGAAGTTAGAATTATTATATTTTAAAATTCTGATGGATATGTATAAATTTTGATGGATATATTATGTGAATGACATGAGTATGTGATAAGTTCATGAGATAAAATGCTACATAGAGTATTGAATGTATGACATGTATCATTTGCATAAAATATTTTATAACCCTACATGAGTATTGACTTTTGAACCACCATATATGAGTTTTATTAGCACCAATACACATAGATTTAGATAAATCTATGTTTACACGCATTAAAAAAGTGTTAACAGAAAAGAAAAAACTTATTTAATCATATTTTAAGTACTACATAAAATATGAAGCATTAAATACATTTTTTTTGGACTTCTGAAAAATTAAAAATCATTAATTAACAATAATCAATTTAACCTTTAAAATATAATGTATTAATTACAAACATGAACACTTGATGTTAAGAATAAATGACGAAATATAAGGAATAAAATGAATTAATTATAATGCAGAAGAATTTTCAACGTTCAATTAAATAATAAAATATAGATTATAAAGATGTCTCTCTTTTGAGCGAAAAATTATCACATATTTTATTACATAAATATATATTAAAATATTATATATATATATATATAAACTAAATTAGACTGTATTTTTTAATTCATTAAAATTATATTAAAATATAGATAAGCAAAAGGCTTTTATTGAAAAATATATATTAAATATTTAAGTACTGAAAATAAGTTAATTAATTAAAATCATTATGTTTAAATTAAAGAGGCCGAGACATTTGTACATCTAGTAATTACACAAATGGTTACATTTGATTATATTTTTTATATATATTTTCTCTAATTTATCTTTTATCCATAAGAAATTACTGCATATAATGGAAAAAAAATCTAAAAAAAATAGAGACAAAAATGGATATTTAAAAACATATTTCTTTTATTAATAGTTATATAAATAGATATTTTTAAACGTATAAATTATATTTTAAATTTTGATAAATAAATTACATTGTAGCACAATATTATTTTTATTTATTAATAATTTATTTTTTAAAATATTAAAATTTAATTTATAAATAATTATGAGTAAATAAAAATTATATCAGGTAATAAGTTAACAAATTCTTAAAAACTCTTTCATTAAAGAAAAATATAAAAAATACACTCCAAGATAAGAAGTCGTG